ACATATATATATATATACACATACACAAATACACAATGCACATGTAGGGTAAATCACACGCTGTATATACATACGCACATATGTATGTGCATCAGCAAGTTCGCTGGTATGTACATCAACGATTGTGTTCATATGTGTGTGTATATATGTGTACGTACATATGTTCATGCCGATCTGGGGCGCACAGGCGCATTTATGCCGACAGCCATGATATGCACTTGTGTGCTCACAAGCAAACTTTGCAACATCGCACATCTATAAATATGTTCATGTATGTACGCATGTATATACGAATATATACAAGAGCACGCTTTACACTGATGCCTATATTTTCCATACGTGTATATGTTTGATTCCAATATGCCAATCGAAAACGCACACATGTTTGCACACGCGCATTGGTTACATGTATGTATATTTGCGTCACTGGATATATCACAATGGCGTGCATATGTATATATGTATATATATATGTATGCGTACTGCGAAACGTCGTCTTGCTTCCTCTCGTTCCTTATTTTGACAACACATTCGCACATTCGTATATGTGTACACACATGCACCTGTGCACGCGGACATACCGCGCCTGACGTCTAATCCACGTAAGGCATTACTTCACAAACGGATAAGAAAAGGTCAACTACAGACGCACCACCATAAGCTGGCCGGGTAAACACATAACCGCGCCGATAAAGTGTTCGTTCCATACATTTTTTTGCTTACGTGTAGGTGTACATCCTTGTGTATACACAATTGTGTAATGCTTAAACTGATTTGTAATACAAGCCTCAATTTTGCATGTACACGTCTGCATGCATGCATTATGACTCATGTATGCAGAGCGAAGCGTGGATGTATGCGTACGCGTGTAAGATGTCCGAATGCGTATACATATACACAATGATGCAACATGTAGGTCCCCACTCATTGGACCCCTAGAGTTATAATCCACAACTCAGGGCCCAAACCTTGTGTTCCAACGCATTTGGCCATTAAGTCCTGATCCATTTCGTTGCTGGATGAGCTGGTGGGAATACGCGGGACATCACATGTAGATGTGCCCCACAACTTCTGGCCCTGAATTCTTTATCCCAAACTCATGGTACAAAGCATCCGCTCCCAAACTTAAATTCAGCAATTCTGGGCCACATCGGGCTGGATGGACTGGAGGGATACGCGACGCGTCGATCATACGTATGTATATGTGCCTTAATCTTCAGACCCTTGAAAATACTTAACGGATCCCCAAACCATCTTTCCGTAATCATCAAGAGTCCCTCAGCAAACTTCAGGGATCCTCAGAAATCCCGCCAGAATCCCTAGGGGATCCTCCCACAATCGTTCAGGAAACCTTCATGAATCCTTCAGGAATCTGTGCGAGGCCCTCAAAAATCCGCACGGACCTTTCGGAACCCGCGCGAATCCTTCAGTGACCCCTGAGACCTTAGAATTCCTTATGCATCCCATGGAGGAAATATTGAGGAACGCCTGGAAAGAGCCTCTTGAAGAGCGCCCGTAATATTGCATATCGAATCTTACAAAATTCACCGGGCAAGAAACGAAAGTACCGGGAAAGGGTCCAGTTCACCGGGAATCGCTCCAGGAATGGGGCCCTGTATCATAATCTTCTCGGCTAGTCTGGAAGTAATCCTTATCGCCGTCCTTATGATTGCGGAGGATTTCTTCCTGTCTCCTATCCATCCTTCTCCTTGTCGGCCGGGCGGAGGCCCTCCTCCCCCCTTCTGCCTTGCCTCCTCTTCATGCTCCTGCCTCTCCCCCTTCCGCCATCTCGTCCAGTCCCCTTGCATGGACACAAATGTCGATTCTAAACCAGGCTGGCTCCGCCTCAACCGTCGCTCGCGCGTCCGTCGGCAGCCAGATCGCGAGTCCGTTCGGATACCCGGACTTGGGGACGCCCTAGACAGGGGCTCCCGTTCGAGAACTCCTCGCGATTCACTCACAAACGAAACTCCCGCTCGAGACTTCCACCAGATCTGAGCTTGAGGAATTCAAACACGACGACGGTTACAAGACCTGGATGGCCCCGTTCGGACTCCAACATGGAAGTGGGGACCCCATCGGGAGGGGCTCCCGCTCAAGATTTCTTCGCCGATTCACTCAGACGAAGCTCCCGCTGGAGACCTCCTCCATATCCTCCATAGTCAAACCCGAGGAGCCCCAAAATGACCACGGTTACAAGATCTGGATGACTCGTTCGTATTCCAACATGCAGGTGGCGACCCCATAGGGCACTCGGGATTTCCTCGCGACTCTCGCACAGGACTGCCTTAAGATTCAGGCCTGAGGAATCCAACAGCCAAACGCGACGACGGTTACAGGATTTGGACGACCCGTTCGGATTCCAAAGTGAAGGTGGGGACCCGATAGGGATGGGCTCCCGCTCGGGACTTCCTCGCGATTCACTCACAAACGAAACTCCCTCGCGATTCACCCACGGACGAAACTACCGTACGAGACGTCCTTCAAAGTCAAGCCAGAAGAGTCCAATGGTAATGGCAAAGAATTGCAGGATCTGGACGGCCCGTTCGGATTCCAAAATGGAAGTGGGGACCCTCTAGACGGGGGCCTTCCTGCTCGAGACACCCCTGCGATTCACTCACACTCGAAGCTCCCGCTCGAGACTTCCTCCATCTTCAAGCCTGACGAGCCCAAACGTGACCACGGCTACAAGATCTGGATGGCCCCGTTAGGATTCCCATATGGAAGTGGGGACCGCATCGGGAGGGGATCCCGCTCGAGACGTCCTCGTGATTCACTCACAAACAGAATTTCCGCTCGAGACTTCCTCCAGGTGCAGGCCTGAAGAGCCAACCGATGATGACGGTCACATGATCCGTACGACCGCTTCGGATTCCAACATGGGGATGAAGACCCCATCGGGAGGGGCTCCCGCTTGAGACCTCCTTCGCATTCAAGCCCGAGGAGCCCTAAAATTGAGGAGACCCCATCTGGCAGGACTCCCGATCGAGACTTCCTCGCGATTCACTCACAGACAAAGCTTCCATATTCAGGCCTGAAGAATCCAAAAGTGACGACGGTTACAAGATCTGGACGACCCGTTCGGGTTCCAACATAGAGGTGGGGACCCCATAAGGGGGGCGGGCTCCCGCTTGCTCGCGACTCACTCACAGACGAAGCTCCTGCTAGAGACTACCTCAAGAGAAGTGTGCGTGTGTGTGTATGTGTGTGCGTATCTGAGAGTGCTTGCGGTGATGATGATGCTGATGATGATGATGATGATGATGATGATGATGATGATGATGCAGGTGAATATGCTGATGCTGATGGTGATGGGTGGACGGATGGATGGGTGTGGATGATGATGCGAATGCGAATGCGATCGCGCTGGGGCGATGCCTGAATGCTGCAGCACAGCACATGCCACCGCCTGCGCGGGTTACAGTAGCCCTACCGAACTCTGTCACTTGAGCGGCCGCTGGCGTGAACCACGCGCTCGGGCCTAAAGCGCCCCTTGGGGGAACACCCCAGTCGGGGGCTCCTTTGGCACTCACGTGCCCTCCAAAAAAATAGGTCCGAAGAGGCGGAGAGGAAGATGAGGGGTGAACGCCCCCAAGAGAAATCAATCAATGATCACCGGCCCCCGCATTTGGTGCCGACAGAATGCACCAACGCCGGCCTGCGACGAGCCAGCGCCGATAAAATGATATAAGGGACTCCGAGACGGGGCGGCCCCACCTCGTTTTCAGAGCAGGGCCTCTGTGACCACTACATTTGCCCGGTGCTTATGAGGACACGCTCGGGACAAACATTTACACCGAGCGGAGAAAGAGAAGGAGGAGGGATAAGAAAAACAAAATATCAAGAGCGGCCTGCCCTACCTCGGCCTCGGCCCTTCGCGATGGCCGAAGGTTCTAGATACTGCTGTCTTCTGCGTGACGGCGCCTTGGGCTCAGCGCGTGGGACGGCCCAGTAGTCAGACTCCCGGCGTCTCAGGACATGTGCCGGGATGGGATGCCCCTCCTCCAGCAAAGCCCGCAGCCGCGTCGAGTTCCTCATTTCTGGAGGCGCGTGATCAAGCGGGCTGCCTCCCGTTCTAGCTCGCTGCGGGGCGCCGCGCCGATGGCCACTTCGGCTCCCGCCGCCTTCATCTCGTCCAGGATCCACGTCTCGAGCATCCGGCCGATCTCCGAGCTCGCCGAGAACGCGAAGATTAACTTTACCTTGTCCTGCATCTTCTTGCTCTTCGTGCCCCGCGGCCTGATGACGCGGAAGTAGCGCACGTGCATGGACAAGGCCGCCTGTGTGCCGCCCTTGATCTTGTCCTGCCAGAGCGCCTTGGCCTCCTTCTGCGGGTCCTGCGGCGACCCGACCGGCACCGCAGAGTGGTTCGCGCTTTTTGCCTTCGGCGCCGCCCTCCGCGGCCGCGTCCGCCTTCAGCAGGCTCCCGAACCAGGCGGGACCCTCGCCGCCCATGATCATGGTGATTGTGATGATGATGATGATGAGGATGATGATGGTGGTGGTGTTGGTGGTATCGATAACGATGGTGGTGGTGATGATGATGGTGATGATGGTGATGGTGATGATGCTGATGATGATGATGATGATGCTGATGCTGCTGCTGATGATTATGATGCTGATGGTGGTGGTGTGTGTGTGTGTGGTGGGTGGGTGTTCCATTGTTCTTGTTTCTGTTCCTGCGCGGGGGGTGTCCCGAGAAAAAAACAATTATGATCCCTCTTCGCCCGCCCCCCCCGCCTCCTCCACGCCGCCCCTGCGGGCACGAGGAGGGTCGGGAGGACGGGGGGAGGACGAGCAGGAGCAATGGGAGGAGTAGGGTCGGCAGGAGGAGCAGGGGCGAGGAGGGGAAAGGGGGGGGATGGTGAGGGGGGAGGTGGTGGGCAGGAGGAGTTCGAGGAGAAGCAGGAGGAGGGGGAGGAGAGGGAAGGGTGGGGAGGGTGAGGAGGGAGGCGGATGTGGGGGGGGCTCCCTTGAAGGTTGAAGGATGGCATCGACGATCAGCGTTCAGCGTAAGGATGGCTTCCAACAATGATCACGAAGATGAGCGAAATATCTACTGCAACGCCACCCCGTTGGCCCACAATGCCGCACGGGGCGACGCACCCGAGGCCCCTAAAGGGCACGTCCGGCGTCCCCGACAGGGGCTGGCACTTGCTCACGCCGTCCGCCGCCGCGACCTCCTTGAAACTATGGCTCTGGCTCGCTCGGCACCGCTCGCCTCCCTCCCTACCGCCCGCACTCGTGGCTCAGGAAGAAGCTTCGTGTTCCCCTTGGCCCTCCTTCCTCGCCACCTCTCTTCCGCTCTTGGCTTCTTCCCCCATGCTTGTTCCTTCTTCCCAGAGGCTGGGGGAGCAAACGCAGCACCAGGAAGCCACCAGCGTGCGGATGCTGACGGGACACCAGTCCTTTGGACAAAACACCGATGCGTCGGCGTGCCATTGATACCAACGGCGGCGCTTCACTGACTGATACCGACGGCCTGACGGGCTCCCAAAGGCGGCGTGTCATTGGTATCACGCAGGCATCCGACGATCTGTTTTTTATTTTCAATTCACCGGCCCCGGAGGTCCCGATCCCTTCCCCCAGGCCAATTTGTCGCCCCAGATAAACTTTTGATGGTCCTAGGGCCTAACAGCGAGCCCCAGAGGCCGATCTCTAAGAAACGCACCCCGATTGAAAAAATCAGGTCGTGGGAGATCTGGGCACTTTCCCCCTCTCGAGAAACATCAGTACATGGGGCCAAACCTTTGGCTCTTCCCTATTCCTGCCGAGCTACTGAGGAGCAGCGTCAGGGGGGGGGGGTCGGCTCCGGGGGGCCACACCGACCCGGGATCGGCGATACATCGCCGATAGATCAGCGAACAGCCCCCGGTAGCGAAACCGCACAGTTTTGGGCGGGATCGGCTCTCAGGCCTCGGACTTATCCATGCCCACCGCCTTGGGAGCCGAGGTCCCCGGGGACCACATGGGGCCGTGGATATACGGACATACGCGGGCCCGCTCATGTTATGTTGTTCCCATCGTACTCAAGGACCACATCCCAGAAGTAATTTCGAGCACCCAGAAAAGTGTTGAATGAAAGAGTGTCGAAACAGTGTCGGACGAATGTCTCCCAGGGCCCGACACGTGAAAACCCTCGAGTGTTTGTGGGGTATTTTTCTGGTGCTCGAAAGTCTTTCTGGTGATCAAGGCAAAAGCAGGTTGGAACATCAAAACACTAATGCCCAAAAATATCCACATCCACCGCCTCCCGAGGTCCAAGACTGGATTCCCAGGCGGTGGATGTGGATAAATCCCAGCCTCGGACTCCCAGCCCCTCCCATGTCCCCTCCCCTCTCTTCTCGGACGCTCACATGGATTACCGATCCGTGGATCTGGCGCATGAGCGCCAGATACACGTTTCGAGGTAACGTTCTGATCGGCAACGTTTTCCGCGAAGGCCCTGCTTCACCATATCCCGTATGTAATGTCCAATGTAATTATGTGATCCCCCTTCCCCTCCCACCAGAATCACGCCCCATCCGCGGCTCAAAAGTGGTAACCCCTTTCTGGGAATCAGACAAACACAACACATACGGAAAGTCAACGGTTTTGGCTTCGCGGGCTGGGCCTCGAGACGGTTCTGGAAGATGTCGAAGCTGCCCAAGAAGACGGTTCCAAGACGCCCCAAGATGACCCCAAAACTGCCCAAGCGGACCCAATACGGCACAAGAAGCCATCAAGACGGCTTAAGAGGGTTCCAAGAGGTTCCTCGAGAGGGCTTTGAAACTCAACAACAACATATAGTTGCTTTAGGTTTTGGATCTATTTTACTGTTCTCGTCTTCTCGGGCTTCTGACGCCCCAGGACAGCCCCAGATGCATCCAATGTGGCCGCAAGACAGCCCAAGGAGCCCCCAAGAGGGCTCCAGGACGGCCCAAAGGTGGCCCCAAGGTTTCCAAGACAACCCCAAATTGGCCCAAGTGGGCCCCAAGACGGCCGAAAGGACCCCCAAGACGGCCCTTGGAAGCCTCACGAAGACACCAATACAGCCGAAAGAGTCCCGCCCTCAAGATGGCCTCTGAAGGCGCCAATGCCGAACAGCGCCAGAAGACGGCCCATGACTCCCCCAAGACGCCCCAACAGGCTCCCAACAAGCCCCCAAGCAGCCCCAAGATGTCCCAAAGAGGCCCCCAGAAGCCCCCACGAATCTTCCAGGAATGCCCGAATTTAAATACTCTACACATTCCAGATTTGCACCCCGCGAAGAATCCACGGATTGGGAAAAGGCACCTCCCGAGACATGGGCGACGAAAAGCAACAGGTCTTACGCGAGATGGCATGGCGACCTTACGCGGTGGCTTCCGCGGGCTGCCAACGCCGCACGCTGCAATGCAAACGAAAGCGCTTCCGCGCGACCTTGCGCGGGCAACTCACGCGCCAATGTCGGCGAACACCACCTCGTTTTTCTGCGACGCTCACGTGCTGGCAATGCCGCCCGATTGGACGACGGAGCACGCCGACTCTACATGGCAGCAACACCCGCCTCTAATCCACTCGCCTCAATCCATGCTTCTTGTTCCTCGACCCTCTGCCCTCCCCTCCCTTCCTCCCCTCCCCCATCCCTTTTCCCTCCCCTCTTCCCTGCCCTCCTTCTCCCTCTTCCCTCCCCTCCCTTTGTCCTTCCCTTTTTTTCCCTCCCCTCCCTTTCCTCCCTCCCCTGTCCTTCCCTCCCCTCTTCCCTCCCCTTCCCTCTTCCCTCCTCTCCCTCTCCCTCCCTTGCAGTACCATGTGGGACCTGCTCTAATACAGGAACATGCAGTAGACAGTTCTACCCTTCCTACGACTTTGAACTGCGCCGAACGCAACGACCGCGTTCTCTATAGACGCATCCGCCCCGAAGGCGTCTATGTTCGTAACGACACCAGTGTGCCTATAGACGTTTGTGGCTAGAAAGTGCGAGCTGTATTTGCCATAGGCGCAAGATATTGGTCTTCTAGAGGCAAATAGACTTTGCCCTCCAACCCCTCGCAATACTTCTTTCTCCTGGTAATGTTCCGCTTTCAGTCGGCACGTCTCACGCGTATGTTGTTTCCTTCTGGATCTCAAGCCGTGGCTGTTCCCATATATGCCTTTCCAGTCGGAACGTCTTCGGTCCCCCTCTGAGCGGTGTTCCCGCCGCGGCGCAAGGCCAGAAAAAGGCCGCCCTTCAGGCCAGAAGGCGCTGCCGTGCAGCTCATGGAGCGAGGGAGGGGGATGAGGGGGAGAGGAGTGCGTCTCCCCGAGGATTCTGGAGGTCACTAGAGGTCGGATTTGGGCGAGGCTTAATGGGGGGGCGATCAAACGGGGGGGAAGAAAGGTGCCCGCTTCTGGCCTTAAAGGCCCCCGTATGGGCCCTGAAGGGCCCTTTTTCTGCAGCCCTCGCTGCCCCCCATGTATCGCCACCCCCATCACGCGACGCCTAACGGATAAGGAGGAGCAGGATGCCAGATGAACAGGAGCGCGCTCGCCAAGAGAGGGGAAGCACGGGGAGAAAGTAAGATAACACGTCAAGTGCGCTCTTCTGGGACATTTTTCATAGTGACGGGGCGCACCCAGAAACTAGCATGAGTGAACACCTTGTAATACACCCAGCGCTCAACGAATTGTGTTCTGAGGCGCATACGTCTCTCTGAAACCAAGCAGGGCTCATGCTGTGAAATGGCCGAAGAGACCCTGCAACCGCACTCCGGTGCCAATGAGTTGATGAATCCTCGCTTTGGCTACGGTCAGGAACTCTGGTACAGCGTGTCGCGGCGACGGCCCCAGCGACACGCTATGCCTTGCAAGCAGAAAGCGTGTGGCTCCGCTCTTCATGGCGGGTGGCTGGGAAAGGATCTTGCCGTGGGCGCCCGGGGACCGGTCGTGGATAGCATGTCGTCCCAGAGCGCTGCGGGCCAGAACCGGCGGCGCGACGCGCTAAGCCAAAGTTGCTGACCGTAGGCACTCATGCCCGAGGAGCACAGGAGGGGCGGGAGGGGGGGAGGGGAAGGGAGGCGGAGGCTGGAGAGCCAGAGGCATCGGGCTTTTCGGACGTGCTGCAGCGCTCGGGCCGCTGCGGGGCAGTCTGAGACCCAGCCTCCTCTGCAAAACGTCGCCGAGTGCGCCACGGGGCGCCAGCGCAGGAGGTCCAGAGTTACCAACTGAGTCGAGACAGCTGCGAGGAGCTCGTGAGGCCCAGTCGCATGGCGACGAGCAAATAGAGGTGCGACGACCTGCGGCATGTTCCAAACGTGCAACCAGTGGACTTGTGGTCCAGTGGTCGCACTCTGACGGATTCCAGGTCCGAGCGTAAACGCTCACGAAGGCCGCACCTTGCCTGTTCAAACTTCATGAATTCTTCGCTCCCTAGCGGGGCGTATACAAATCTCACGCAGGCCGCATCTGGCCTGTACGAATTTCATGAACTATGCGCTCTCTGGCGGTGCGTGTACAAATCCCACTAAGGCCGCACCTGTCCTGTACAAATTTCATGAATTCTACAATCCCTAGCGGGACGTGTACAAATCTCACAATTGCAGTGCGCACACCAGCTGACTTTACAAATCGAGACTGCGAGCTCGCAGCATGCAGTGCAACATCTCGCGGAGCTGCATGCGCCCGTGGCGCTCGCGTGCGAAAGCGTGCAAACTCGAGGCAGAGTCGCTCCGCGTGCTGCGTGCTGCGAGCTTGGGGACGAATACCCATCGGTCGGACGAAATAGGTAGAAACATGAAGTAGGAAAGGTTGAACGTAGATTGGGTGTCTGCTGTCCGCCCGCCCCCTTGGGAGGACGGAACAGGTGAAGCCACTCGATCCTTGAAGTAGGAAGGCGCCCAAAGTAGATTGGAATCTGAGAATCCAAACACACCCACTTTCAACGACCGATGGGTAGTGGGGGCGGCCGAATGGCACGATGTGTGCCACGGCAGCATTTCGCGCGCCTGCCGCAGCGCATGGCGTCTGCGTGTAGTCGCCGACCCCGCGGAGCACCAACGCGGCATATGCCAACCCCTCCCCTCGGGGGTCCCCACTCCCGGGAGGTCCCGCGGGGCGTCTGGAGACCTTTGGGGCTCACGGCCCCCTGGGACTTCTTGAGAGGCCCCCCCCAGAATCAGGCCCAGACCGCGAGCCGCGAGGCACGAAGTATGCCTGGGCAATGTCAACGCGCTAGGGACCGTAAGTGCGCTTCAAGCCCCCCCCCGCCTGACTTTCGGATTTTTCCTGGGCGCTGCATGTTTCGTGGCGTGGCCTCTCTCGAGGCCTTGGAAGCGTGCGCGGTGATCCCGAACTTCCACCATGCCTTAAGATGGCCTCGAGGGGCCAGCCTTGATCCCTCTGTGCACCTACATATCCGCCGATCCGGCGTGTGAGTTTCAAGGAGTCTCAGCTACAGCCTCGAGGCTGAGCCTCAGCCTCTGGGGGGGTTGCCGGGGTGGCTCTGCCGGGGAAGGGGGGGTGGGGTAGGGGGGGGGGTGCGAGTTTCTGGCGGATGCGTTTTTTGACACCCCTCACAAGGATCGTGGCCTCCGAGGGGGTTCCGAACTCGAGTACCACCCCTCCCGCACCAAGAGGCTCCGAGGAGGCCTCCAAGAGGCCCCAAGGGGCGCAGAAGAGGCCCCCAAGAAGCCCCAAGAGGCTCCCAAGAGACCCCCAAGAGGCCCTCTAGTGGCCCCAAGAGGCCCAAGAGGCCCCCAAGAAGCCCCAAGAGGCGCCCAAGAGGCCCCCAGAAGTCCCAGCCAACCACGAGATCCCAACCAGCATCCATGAGGCCTCTGACCCACCACCCACGCACGGTGGCGGGATAGGCCGACGGCCACTGGATCCGCCGCCCCCTGCTTGCAGGGGTGCACGGCGTGCTGGATGATTCAGGTTTTGGTTTTGGTTCTTTTTCTAAAAGAACTCCCCAGTGGGCTTCGGCCCGTCCCGCCGGCCACCCGCGCGTTTCCCAAAATCCGTCTGTCAATGCCCAAAAACGGCCGTTTCGCTCGGGACATCCTCAAAAAATCGCGAAGATGGCCCAAGATGGCCTCCAAGTCCGCCCGAGATGGTCCAAGACGGCCTCCAAAACGGCCCAAGAGAGTCCAAGACGGCCCAAGACGGCCCAAGAGGCCCCCCAGAGGCCTCCCAGACGGCCCAAGAGGCCTCCAAGAGGTCCTCCAGGAGAGTCCGAAGAGGCCAAAATCATTGATTTTCCCTTGGTTTTTGAAGGATTTTGGCATTTGCGCCTTTTCGGCTCTCCGACGGCTCAAGACGGCCCAAGAAGCCCCCAAGATCGCCCAAGAGGCCCCCAAGAGAGCCCCATGATGGCCCAAGTGGCCTCCAAGATGGCCCCTAGAGGGCCCCAAGAGGGCCCAAGAGGCCTCCAACACGCCCAAGATGGCCTCCCAGACGCCCAAGATGGCCTCCAAGACGGCCCTGGAGCATTCCAAGCGGGCCCCAAGTCGGCCCATAGAGGCCCCCCAAACGGCTTCCGACGGCTTCAGACGTGCCAGGAACCCACCAAGATGGCCGAAGTTGGCTCGAAGCTGGCCCGAGACGG